GGTTTCGTTGGCCTTTGATCATTCATCAATGATAATGGTGCGATGTTGAATCAACATTTGCGTGATTATAGCTGGTATCACGCGAACATCACTCCATTTCCATATTGACATTCCATCATTTCGTTTCTTCAATTGAAAATCAGTTTGTTTCCCTTCTCCTTTTTTTGATATTTTAACTTGAAACCAATTTAAAACTTTAGAGCACCTAAGTGGCGATAAGCTTTGAGCAGGAAAAAAAGGAGAATAGGTTAATTTGGTTGTTTGAAAAAAAACAAGGGAGGCAAAGAAGATGAAAAATACTCACCAAATACATATACTTGCTTTGTTGTCCAAACAACATGAAAGGTTGATTGAAAACAAACAAAAGGATTACTTTTCCTGCAAATCGATTTACCCTCAATTTGAGCAAATTTAGTTCTTTTATTTTGTTCAACAAGTGATTGGCCAATTAAGTTAACCTGTCATCCGATTCCATTGCTCCAAACACTTCTGAAGAGTTGTTACCATCTCAATTGACCCTGAGAAAAGCAAAAAGTTAAACATTAGTTGGTTAGTTAGAGAGATAAATTGATAAAAAAGCAAATAACTTACAAATGAAATACTAAATGATTGATGCATGATCTGATTCAATTTCTCAATAAATACTTCAATTTTAAAGGGAAGTGTAAGAGATTGACCTTAACATTGTTACTAGAATGTATCGCAAAGGTATGGAAAGAGAGAAGAAGGAAACTCATCGTCATTTTTACACTTATCTTGTACATTGTTATTGGTTTACTTGGATCCTCACCCTTCATCTTTGTCTTCTTTTCTTTCCCTTTTTTCTTGTATATTTACACGGCAGTACGGGAATGAAACTTGTTTTAGATCCGAATAAAATCTGCCGTAAAGCAGGTCGATTGAAAAGTAAACAAACAAGTATTTGTGAAAAAGGACCGGAGATCGTTCGGGAAATAACCAAAGGTGCTAAAATTGCCCGTAAAGAGTGTGAATTTCAGTTCCGTAACCGCCAATGGAATTGTCCATCAACGAGAAAGTCGATGAGGAAGATCCTTCTGAAAGGTAAACGTCTGAAGATGTCTATTTGCTTTGCCCACTTCTGGCAATAGCTTCAAGTTTTTAATTTGATCTGGAAGAAGAAACAAATAACATGGCAAGCATTAATTGATTGGATTGTTATTTTAAAGAAATGAAACACGCGAATAGAGTGAGACAGAGAGAAAGAAAGAGTGTTAGAAAATAAGGATCAATTAAAATACCTAATGTTGAAAATGTTTG